GAACTTCAAAAAAAAAAGATTAAGTATTTTCCTTCCTTTAGATGTTGATTTTCTATTATATCTTAGTTATAGATGGGATGACGGGTGTTATTCAAATAAATACCATATTTATAAATAAAGTATAAAATATAGTTATATCATCAAATAGAAAAAGTAGTATATTTTGCCTTCAGTTACTAATAAATTAAATAATTAAGTAACTTACATTTATATGATTAAATAATAAGATTTTTAAAATTATTTAAAAACTGTAACGTTTAGTTTCTTTAGTACTTTTGTTATTTTATTTTAAAAGTGTAATCATTTCAATAGAAGATCAATCAAAAATATGAAAATTGATAAGATTTTTATTTCAATTTATTAGGGACAGAAGTGGATTATATGAATTTACTATTGCGAGTGGACTGTATTACTAACTGACTGACTGATGTATACTACACTAGGGACTGCTTAAAGAAAAGATGGTACTGTATTAAACTATTTACAAATGCGGCTTTCACTAATTAACTATATACACAGAGGGGAGTCTTCAATGGAGTATAAATTCTTCTTGATTTCTCTTGAGGTTTCTTCTCTTGCTGTTGTCTTCGAGTGCCGCTTCCGAAATGAACAGCTCACAGACCGAAACAGTAAACAGTATAATATAATAAAATACCTGACTTTGCGTTGCTGGCGAAACACAGTTATTTTTTTTTGTTATAGGATCGGGTGATAAACGAGCACACAGTCCACCTGATGGTAAGTGGTTACTGTGACCCATAGACATCTACATCTATCCTCAATAAAGACTCAAGATGCAGATGCGTTGTCACCCGTGACGACTAAGATGGAATGCCTCTTTGCCAGTAAAAAGGGTCTCCGGTTCTCTACACTCACCATACGAAACACAGCAGCGTTAAGCTGCTATTTTACGTTGGTTTTCTGTGAGAGCGTGGTCCTTCCCCGGTCGAGCCGACCCATTCGTGCTACAACCATAATATAGCTGCAGCATGGCTCTACCACGTGAAAAAACAAAGTTATAAAATGAGAACATCATCCATGTAGTGGTCACATCTTGATCAAATTTACATGGGACCGACCTCATGAGCTTTCAAATAAAAAAAACACACATTAAAAAGTTGAATCGAGAACCTACTTCATTTTTGCAGTCGGTTGAAAAAGTAAATATTTCGATCTATTTCAATTTTTCCAAGCCGAACTTAAGCAAACGTGGGTCTGTGACTTATTATAATAACCAGTAGTAGTTAACAATAAAACTAAACATTATAAATATTAAAAGTTTTATTCAGTGTTAAAAGTTGTAAATGTTCGATTGTCTTATGTCAGATATCTTGATTAAATGGCACTAAAACCTTAAACGCATTCAATGACCTACAAACTATTATAATGAATACTGTTAACATCTAAAGTAAAAAAATAAGGTACAATAACTTAACAAAAACAATATACAAATAAACGACAGTTACAGGTTGGCCCATAATCTGTAGTAAGTTTAAAATCTCATTAATAACAGTGAACATTTGTGTATAGTAACACCACCGAATTAATATATATGATGGGAAGGTATACTTTGTTAGACAAGAGTTGATTATTATTTTTCTTTCATCTTAGAACAGACGCGAGCAACTTTTTTTCACTTCACCTCGAAGCTCATAGTTTTAATGCATTTCCACGTGGAGTTGGTCCATGGTTCTAGTAATATCATCGATATAAATGAGTAGTATAATAAGTCTATATTGTAATATACAATTTATAGCAAACTTAAATTTTGGCGCCATTTTTGACATATCGCCGTCTCCGACGAACACTATCGTTATCGCTATTACCATAGAGTCGGGTTTATTGAAGATTCCTAATTCACACACCGTAATACATCATTGAGAAAAATTTTATGGCCGGGCGACGAATACTTTTCGACTTATCCATTCAATAATGATCTTTATGTTGCTTTTCAACGGATAACATAATAGAACAATCGAGTCGATTAATAACGCAAAAACTTATTACCAAATCTTATGAGTAAAAATTTTACAGTAAGCATTATTACCATATTGTTCGAGTGAAAAATGACAAAGCCGTTCCCGGTAAGCGTCAACACAATATCTTTCGGGTGATCACACACCTTCATATTTATCGCAAGATGCAACGCTCTCCCTTTGACTCGACCTGGTAGACAGTGTTAGCTGTATTCCTCGTTAGTGAATCCTAATTGTGTTTGTAAGACGCAACGCTTTCACTTAACTTAAACAAAAAGGAGACTGTTCGTAACATAAAAAACGAACAAAAATTGAGCACAGATGAAAAAAACACTATTATTGCGGCGTTTGATCTGGAAAAAGTTTTGAGTGTGCCACAGTCCGAAGTGGGCATTTTTTATTATAAACGAAAATATGCAGTTTATAACTTTACTGTGTTTGCTTTAATGCGCAAAGCCGGACATTGTTTTGTGTGGCATATGTCTATTGGAAAGAGCCATTAATAAACAACTACTGAAATTGGTAGTTGTTTATTAAAATTCATCCAGGAAGAACAACTGAGAGGAATCGAAAATTTGTCATTTTATTCTGATGGTTGCGCCGGCTAAAACAAAAATCAGTTTATATTCGCCCTATACCTGTATATCGTACAAGTTTATGGAGTGAAAACTATAACGCACCGATTTTTTGAGACCGGGCGTAGCCAAAATGAAGGTGATAATATGTATTCATGCATAGAGGGCTATGAAAAATAAAATACTGTATACTCCAGAGCAAGCTTATGGTGTAATTTCAAACGCGAAAATCTCGCATCCAAAATATAAGATCAATGAAATGGAGCAGGTGGATTTCTACGATATAAAAGATCTTATTAATGGAAAGAATTGGTTGAAAGACACCGAAGGACGAAAAATTAAGTGGTCGAAATTGATGGCGGTGAGAGTTTCTCATTTGAAACAAACAATTTTACAGTATAAGTATAAACACGAAAGAGCCCTTTGAGTTGAATACAAAATGGACCAAACCGAAAAGAGGGCGAAAATCCGTCGCCGATGGGGTACAAACCCTTAAAAATTTTTACAGCCGTTACCCGTCACCAAGGCCCTGCTTGATGGCCTGTAGTCTCTGTGTGATAGTGAGGCCATCCCAAAATATTATCACAGTTTTTATAATAATTTAAATTGTGCCGACATCATACCCGAGGAATAAGAAGAAGATTTAGATTAAAGTTGGGTTACCTACTTGTAACATTTTTATATTTTGTTTTTAAATATGTAATAATTTTCGTTTGATACTATAATGATAAATACTTAATGGATATTTTTTGCATTTTATTTCCCATCGATAACTTATTTTGGTTTTTGTTGGATGTATTAATAACTAAACTGTTACTTATTTACTGTTTTAATTAAACAAAATAAATTCAATTCAAATTTAAAAGATTATAATTTGTAGGCACTGTAACTTGTACCGTTAGATTAATGTCATTCGCCTTGGCCACTTCCAAACTCGCTAGATTAAATTATAAGCTGACAATTTAGGTACAATTTACGGTGATCCAAATTATAACCGTATAAAATAAATAGGTACATCCAACAAAATCCAAAATAAGTAGTGACAATTATTATGGTAGTAATAAAAACCTTTATACATATTTACACAATATTTCATTCTGAAACTAGCGGCTGCCCGCGACTTCGTCCGTGTGGGCGGATAAAAAGTAGCCTATATTTTTAGTATGACTAGCATCTATCTATCAGCTGTGAAAACCGCATTAAAATCCGTTCAGTAGTTTCAAAGATGTGCTGGAACAAACAGACAGACAAGAAACAAAAAGCGCATTTTTCTCTTATATTACCTTTATTTTGTCGTTCCCTATCATTTTAGTCCATTATCCTTAGTGTACAGACAAACCTGGTTTCACTAATTTATTATAGTAATAGATAAAAGATTATGACGGTATTAAATTAAATCTTAACTCCTAAAAACGATAATCAAAAAAACCATGTAATGTATGTTTACCGTAATATTCAAAGTTCAGTTACATCATCGAATACAATTGCAATGACATTATACGAACAGAAATACATGCATATTTACCATGGAACAATATCGTAATGCACGATTGCTATAGCCAAATCATTTTGTGATTTCCGTCGAACACTATCGTAAAGTTAGCTAGCGGTAACATCCTCCATAATTTATTTCAGTAATGGACATTTTCATGATTTTCTTATTTATAAAGAAAACTTTTTAGAAAAATTTCGTATAATTATAGTGCCAAAATTTTATTTCCTATTTTTGGTAAAAGAATGTTCTTTCTAGGTTTGATAGTTCTTATGATATTCAGTTTTTATTTGCTCCTGTAAAATTGACATTTTTGTATTACGATTTTGTTCGTCGGGGACGGCGATATGTGCGTATATATAAAAAGAACCTGCTTTTCGGAAAGTAAGCACATAGGTAGTTTCAATTTTATTCCTAAACATGGTTAGTAAAATATTTTGAAGCCGTGAAGTTTGTATTAAATTATCATTACAAATAATTACTATTAATGTACCATATTATATTCGAATGATTCTAGTAACCAGTAGTAGAACACACCAAACAGTTGTTGATAATTTCTTGTTTCTATGAAAGTAAATTGTGCAATGTGTGTCCCCATGGTAAAAAGCTTAATTTTCTGTAAGTAAGTAAAGTAATTTAAAATAATTAATCAGGCTTTACTTTGCGGAAATCCCTTATATTAAAGTTGGTAAAAATTACCTCGCGTACGTCGTGTCGTCAGTGGTGTGTCTTTCCTAGTGTAGTGGTGTTGTAAGTAGTGGTTCTGGGATTAGTGGTGACGGAGATAGTGCACGCAATTGAGGGAGGGCGGGAGGTGCTCTTCAAACTAGGTAAGACATTTTAGTTTATCGAGCGGATGTACGCGAGGTAATTTTTACCAACTTAATTCAAAATATGTTACAGTAAGCAAAAAAAAAGTTATTACGATTAATTTATTACAAAAACTTTTATTTTACACTATGAATTAAGATTTCTCATTTTCATTTGCAACTCGAATCGTCTGTTAGTTCTAACCCCTTTAATCACGGTTCTATTTTCCTTCCTATTTATATCTCTCTTCTCCGTGAATGACTTCTCCCTCATGACGGTTAGCTTCGCCGCTTGCTTCCTTACGGACGTTACTCCAGTAAGAGAAGGCAAAGTCGCCTGTCTTGTTAACACACCATTAGGTTTAGTTTCCTTAGCTTTCATTACTTTGGTTTTGCTGGGCACGCTGAATGGATTCACGTCGCAATTCATTTTGAAACCGAACCTTGTGTAACCGGGGTTTAATGATTCCAATGTTGGTAATTTCGGCCTGAACGGTGTGTCTGGTTTTCTTGGTTCTTTAGCAGAGGCTTTTTTTGGTGATTCGGCAACATTTTCTATAAAAATAAAATTAGTTTCATTTATACAATGTTTATATATAGAAATCAAAGAAAAGAAAAACCTTCAAGAAAAGACCCTACTCCTTTTTAAAAGGCCGGCAACGCATCTGCAATTCCCCTGGTGTTGCAGTTGTTCATGGGTGGCGGTAGTCACTTACCATCAGGTGAGCCGCACGCTCGTTTGGCCCCTATCCTATAAAAAAAATTACGTGTCACATTGTTTGACCGCGATGAACTCCTAAACTATTGAACTGATTTCAATGAAATTTCGCACACTGTGTGCAGTTTGGTCCAACTTGAGAGATAGGATAATTTTTATTCCAATAAATGACCTGCAATATTTTTTTTATTGCGAAATTAAGGATTTTTTCATATGAAGGGTCGTCGGAAAGCGCAGAACAAAGTCTGCCTGGCCAGCTAGTATAATTATATAGAGTAACGAGTGATGTCAGATTATCCGATTATGTGTATCCTAAGTTCCTAAGGTTGAACTCCAACATTTGTGTCCGAGCCAACATTTGTGTAAACTGTAAAGTGGAAGATATTGACTATCCCTGTGTCTCCATACACCCTGCGCTATTAGCTAACTTATTCTTCAATCGAATAAAATAACGAAAACTACGTTCATTCACGTTATTTTACGTGGTTTGTGAATTTGTGACATGGTTCATGATTATCATCAATACAGCCTATCAAAGTCCACTGCTGCACATAATTATGTCTCGTCTCTCCCATAAATCTACACACGGGAGGACATTTCCCATAGTGGCCTCATATGGCAGGTGGGTTGGCAAACGCACCAACATCGCAATGAGGGCTAATAATTTTCTGCTCACCAGATGTCGCTAGTTGACACTGAGGTAAAGTTTTTTTGTTACACAATGTCATTTAATTGGGAAGTTAGTTTTAAATAAAAGTTTATCAGTTTCTAGAGTATTATATTAATACACAAAACAATGCCTCATGTCTGGTTTGCTCTTAAATTTTTTGCACATTTTAAACTTTTTTTTATTTTTTCTACTTTTATGAATATTTATGATTTCGTTTATTTATTTTTAATCTTATTAATATCAAATATAGTTAATAGTACAGAAAGAAACATCAACCTTTACATTTTCCGAACAAATTAACTTCCCCGCTGTGAATGCAAATATTATACCTCACTTTTAAGTGGCGCCGCCCTGGTGGCGGAAAAAGTCGTGGATGTCCTCATTAATTTCGAGTTGTTATCAAAAAGATGCTGCTGCCCATCTCTTGTTTCAATTTCTCCTGGGGTGGTGCATTCTTTTATGCCGCCACTAAAAGGCGAGGTGAGATGTGCTTATGGAGGGAGAAAATTGTCCACCGCGCTGCACCAGTGCGTGTTTGAGACCTTCACATATCCCCGAAATATTTTTACACCTAAGACATTCAGTATTTGAATTGAAAACGACAATACAACTCTTCTGCGTTTCATTGTAATTAGTGATGCAACGAATACTACTTTTACGAATACGAATACGAATATCAAACCTATTATTCGGCGAATACGAATATCTCGCCATAGTTATAAAATACTAATTTATTTGATGATTTTCTATTGTTCTAATAATTAAAATTGACAATAGGCATATGTTTATTTAAATAAAAACCGGCCAAGTGCGAGTCGGACTCGCGCACCGAGGGTTCCGCACGAATCCGTAGGTATATAAGTTTAAAATTATTAAAAATATTTTTATAATATGATGTAACTAAAAATGTATGCTTTTCGCAATTTTTCCTTTATCTGTGGTATAATACGTTGCTACATACTAAATTTTAAGCTTCTGAGTTCACAGGAAGTACCCTGTAGGTTTTGATTCCCTTGAGAATGTCGAAAATATGCGGCATAAACGGCTGTATCTTTTGATTGCGTTGGCTTTGATTGATTTTTTTACAGCTCAAAGGGACAGTAGACTTGAGTATTTGATATAAATTTCAGCTTGATACCTCCACGCGTTCATGGGAAAAAGGGTCTTGACAGACAGACAGACGGACAACAAAGTGATCCTATAAGGGTTTCGTTTTTTCCTTTTGAGATACGGAACCCTAAAAACATAAAATTTGTAGATTTTCTGGTTTTAGGTTAGGTTTCTTTTTTCAGTTTGTATGTTCCCAGCTGTTGTAAAAAAGTCTTTCCGAGGCGATTGTACATGTTTCAGTGAAAAATAGTTTTGGGAGTCCCCCGTCGTTGAGGCTAAGGGCCAAAACACACGTATTTTTTACGCGCCGACGACGCGCGTTATCCAAGTCCGCCAGTAATTAGAGTTGCATACAAAAATATTAGTATTTAAATATTCGTGATCAGTATTCGCCGAATACGAATATTCGGTAAATGTCTACTATTGGGCGAATACGAATATTCGTATTCGTTGCATCACTAATTGTAATCTCATAAAATACGAACTTATACTTTAACGTCGATTATAAGTTATTATTTTATAATCTCCTCAAACTTTAAATTTAAACCAACAATGTAAGATCTGCCTGGACTGGAATGGATCGGAGCTCATGAGGCTCGGTAATAAAAACCATTGGTGGTGTGGTTTAAACGTCGTATGTAATCGAAGATAATAATTTTAGCGACTGCAAAAATTAAACGAAGCTTAGGTCACAAAAGCATTTAAGAGATTTTATCACTATGTGTCTATTTAAACAATATATGTAAAAACTTAAAGCCAAAGCTGGGCGCCGGCCTGCTCTTGCTGCAGTTAGCGTGTGCGAGCTTAAAATGTACTCGTTGTTTCCTCTTTAGGACATGCATCCTTCCTCATGATGTTTTCATTAACCGCCCACAACGTGGTATATCAGCACTTAAAATTGCAATTTACAAATTTCATTAGTGCCGTGGTTTCATCGGCAGTTGAGGAGGCAAGCGCTCGCAGTAAATCCTTCTTATACTACAAGCAATTAACGGTGACTTGTGTTATCAACAGCTAGTTAATAGATATCAAGCTATCTTTATTGATGTAGACAGCGCATAGAAATATATAGATAAGATAGTAAAAACAGGTGAACAGAGGTTCGCAATTAGTAATAATAACATGTTAGGATATCATTTTCATATTAAAATTTAATCTTTTTGACCGATTATTATATTATTATTCTGAGGTAAAAATTTGTTAAGATCCGCCGTAACGCTTCCAAGCTACTATTAGCGCTAGTGTTGGGCATGGAATGGAATAGAATAGAATTTTTTTTTTAATTCCATATAGATTACATGTAATTCTTATTGAAAGTTATTTTTTACCTTTACCTCTAGTTCGGAAAAGACCTCTGTCCTGAGAAGAACTAGCAAGAAACAGAGCAGGACCTTTTTTTTTTCAAAGTAAATTATACAATAAGAAAGGTTGAAAGGTACATCACACTATTTACAAAATTTATTTTAGAAACAGCTTGGAAGTGACCACCTCATTCCCAGGGGTTATTATCAACCATGTATTCATTTATTACCTTTTTTTTATACAGTTTTTGTTTAATAAAATATTTAAACTTGGTAATAGAGAGACCTTGATATTTTCTATGACTTTGTCACATTGCCTCATGAATTAATTACTGCCTCTATGGAGTCGAGAAACCGGTATCACTAGCTTATGTTTGTTCCTAGTGTTTGCAGAGTGTATATCATTTTTTACTAAAACTACAGCCTCTGAGCCTTTTTGATCGCCCTCTTAGATTACTTGCCTTTTTCTTAAACTTTTCCCAACTAACTGCTAACTGGTCTGCACTCTGCATCATCGACCACCAATTAGAGCAGGTGGGTGATGTAGCGGCGCTGTCATCGCGTCACAATAGCGTGAACGGACCGAAATACAACAGAAACCTATTTTCTGAACCATCCAGTTGAATTGATCTGAACTGAACCATCTAGCCATCAAAGTTTCTAAAGAATTCTACATATATGTAACAAGCTCCGTACTTACCCTACGATCCCCGATTGGCCGTGGAAAAAAAGTCCCCTTTCTGTTTAAGACCCAGTTGCTTTGAAGACATGATGAAAAAGCAAGATTCTAGACAGTAGGACTCCTTATCAGCCTTGAAGTCTTTCTGGGTAGGTATCACCCCTTAACTATTTATGCCGCTATGTTGCAGTGCGTGTCTTGTTATACCGGACTGGAGAGACAATAGAGACCCAGTGTAATTACATTGAGGCGAGGCATTCCATCTTAGTCGTCAGTGTTGACAACGCATCTCTAGCCTTCTTAATTTGAAGTTTGCTACAGGTATCCATGGGCTGCAGTAACGACTTACCATCAGGTGGACTGTTAGCTAGCTTGTCAATTTAATTTCATTAAAAAAAATAGTTTGTATCATACTTTTTCCCGCAACTACACGTCTAAAGCGCGCACTTTTAAGATGTATTTTTAAAGAAGTGATCTCCTCGAAGACATTCAGTAAGCCTGTAATGCTACTGACAACTTTGAGCAGCAAATTCCGCACACCGAGATAATTGGCCCTGTTAGTGGTGACCTATGGACATATCAGAAGCATGTGAGCTACAGTTTCTTTTTCTCTCATGTAAGCCCTGCGTAAGAGACTGTCTGTAACACCTAGTTAAACAGATGCTTGTTAAAAGAACCTTGTCCTGAAATAGCATTAGTTACTATCAAGATCTGGAGTTTCTTTAGTATTAACACCTAGAAGATGCTACCATTTACGCAGGGCTCATCTAGCCTGTCTGCAATCTTCATCAGTGTTTACATACCCGAAAATAAACATATGAATGAAAAAAGTTAAAAAGAATCAAGAAATAGCCTAGTTCCATACCTTTGGGGCTGATTCTCTCAATAAGATTCACACTGCCAGTCGGTGTTAAGAGCTGCCGCGCTCGCTTTGCCTTTCTTTCCTGACATTCATCCAATGACTCCATCTTCTCAAAGCGTTTCTGATGCAGCGCTGCGAAATTAGGTAGCTTCGTGCGCGTCACTTTGTTTTCTGGCTTCGTCTTTGATGGTGTTGCGGTCTTTTTAGACGGTGTTGATGGTTCGGACAATTTCGCTAAAAAAAGAACCGTCCATCAGAATTAAGATAAACAAGTTACACATTATTAAGAAAAAACAAAGAAGACATTATTCATCATCATCATTACAGCCCTTCACAAGTCCACTGCTGAAGGCCTCCCCCAAGGAATGCCACAAAGCACGGGCCTGAGCCACCTGCATCCATCAACTTCCTGCATATCTTACCAGGTCGGCACTCCATCTAGTGGGGGGACGCCCTACACTTCGTCCGCCGGTACGAGGCCGCCACTCGAGAACCTTTTTTCCCCATCGGTTGTCGGTTCTTCGAGCTATATGGCCGACCCATTGCCACTTCAGCTTACTAATCCGTTGGGCTATGTCGGTCACTCTAGTTCTACTGCGGATATCCTCATTTCTAAGTTTATCACGCAGAGAAACTCCGAGCATAGCCCTCTCCATAGCTCGCAGAGCGACCTTGAGCTTCCTCATCCGGCCAGCAGTGAAGGACCATGTCTCAGTTCCATAGGTCATCACTGGCATCACGCACTGGTTGTACAGTATTGTTTTCAAGTTTTGAGGTATATCTGACGAGAAGATGTGCTGTAATTTCCCGAACGCTGCCCAACCGAGTTGAACCCGGTGATTGACCTCTCGGTCGAAGTTGGACTTAACTAGTCGGACTATTTGTCCCAGGTAAACATACTCGTCAACAACTTCGAGTTTAGTGCTCTCAACAACTACCGGCATAGGTGTGGACATGGACGTTAAACATGATCTTTGTTTTGTCCATGTTCATCTTAAGACCGTTGGGAAACACTATTGCGGTCATTGCGCATAGTGCTTAGGTCCTCCAGCGATTCTGCCATAAGGACTACATCGTCGGCAAATCGAAGGTGAGTGATGTACTCGCCATTGATGTTAATACCGTATCCTTACCAGTCCAGAAGTTTGAATACGTCTTCCAATGCAGCGGTGAAGTTTCGGGGATATAACGTCACCTTGTCTTACACCTCTCTGCAATTGGATAGGTTTCGTACTCTGATTCAGTACTCGGATAGCCATCGTAGCCCTACTGTACAAGCACTTCAGCACTTCGATATATCGACAGTCAACTTGGCACCGCTGAAGGGACTGCAGCACCGCCCAAATTTCGACGGAATCAAAGGCTTTCTCATAGTCCACATACGCCAGACATAGTGGCAAATTGTAGTCCTCGGACTTCTGTACAATTTGCCGAAGGGTATGTATGTGGTCTATGGTGCTGAAGCTTTTTCGGAAACCGGCTTGTTCGGGAGGCTGGAAGTCTTCAAGTCTGTGCATGAGACGATTCGTAATGACTCTCGGAAACAGCACGTAGGCGCGGGTCAGAAGGGAAATCGGTCTGTAGTTCGTCAAGAGAGCGTTGTCACCTTTCTTGAAGGTGAGTTAATCAGAAAGATGCTGCTGCCCATCTCTTGTTTAATTTCCCTCTGTCGCCTCTTAAAACACCACCGGATGATATGGGATAGAGTATTCTCTTACGGACCATGATGGCTAGCAGCATTATCAGTAAGACAGTATTGGCTCTGCAATTTATGCCTAATCTACTTAGTACATGTTGAGACGCTTGCCCAATTTGATGCATTTTTGAAAAGGCCTAGCTGACCTATTTAAAGGGTTATATAAAAAATAGTTTAGTAAAGGTTATTATACTACTAAAGAGTACATGATTGATAATAACTCTTGAGAATGAGGTGATTGATACCAAGCCATTTCTAAATATGTTAGCATACTAGTTGTATAAAATAATATATCGTAAATTAATTTTATTTATAAAAAAGTGTACCTGGGTATCTTGGTGGTTCTTCCCAGGACAGAGGTTTTTTTCAAAACCAGCAGTAAAATATTAAATTACTTTCAATAAGTATTGTACTCATAAAATAAAATAAAAATGATTCTATTCTAGAAAAGCTTACCTGCAGCGCTGAAGGTCCTGGGTCGTGACAACCGGTCAACCGACTGCTGTAACTCTTCTCCAAGCCTCGATCGTTTAACACGGACATCTTCCACATCGCTCTGTGTGTACGAACGTTTGCGAGCAGCGGGTCGCGCCCCCTCCGACACTGCATAATGAAAATTTACGTACTAAACTTCCAAGATGAGGCCTGCACAATGGTGGGAACTTAACATTGTTTGTGGCTTTTTTATAGAAGAGTGGGCAAACCAGCACGCGGCTCACCTGATGGTAAGTGTCGACCACCACCCATAACATTACCATTACAGCCTACTAAAGTCAACTGCTGAACATAGATTGAACCACCGTCCATGAACAAATGCAACACCAGGGAAATGGTAGGTGTGTTGCCGGTCTCTTAAAAAGGAGTAAGGTTGTTTGTCAAAGGTCTTGAAGCTGTATCATTCAGGAAAAATTTCCGGTAGTAAACAATTCCACAATGAAGTTGTGCAAGGAAGAAAACTCCTAGTAAATCACACAGTAGTGGCCGACCAAGCATCCAGTTGGCATGGAAGGTATTGCAGGTTTAGTCACGATGTATGATAGTAAAATTGAGTGACTAAAATTAGTCCACTAGTTTTCTTCCTGCACAACTTCCTTGTGGAATTGACGATCACCAGCGATTTTTTCGCACTGATATGACTTAGGGACCTTTTAGATAAGAGCCTACTCTTTTTTAAAAGGCTGGCAACACATCTGCAATTCCCCTGGTGTTGCAGATGTTTGTGGGCAGCAAAAGTCACTTACCATCAGGTGACCCACATACTAGTTTGCCCCTCTCATATAAGAAAACAACAGAGCAATTGAAATTTGAACCACTCAAACTTATTAAGCTATCAAATATTTTTACCATAACATGAAACAGAGATGTCAAATCATGTGCAAATGAGATATAACAAGTTCTTCAAGATTAAGAATACAACAGAACAGTCTACTACTGAATACTACTAGGCAACTTGTACCTCTGGTGTGACACTCTATCTCAGACCAAGATATTTAAAATTTTACATATTATAATGCTAGCTGTTCCCCGCGACTTCGCCCGCGTGGAGTTATTTTTCGTGGAACCCTAAAATAAAAGCAGCCCAAGTTACTCCTTATAACATCAGCTATCTGCCAGTGTGTATAAATATTGACAAATATTGACATTAATATTTATACGACACTAATGTCACTCAATTGTTTTACCTTCCCGAAACCCCTCCACTAACACTTAAACTTTATGGTATGGTATTAAAGTTCAAATTGACTTTTAATTATTATTACAAATCTTTTGTATGGGAATATAGAAAAGTGTTGTTTTTAGACTTTTTGAGGCAATTTTTTAAATTTTTCTCTCCGTAAGAACCATCTTCGTACTTCAAAGAATATTATAAAAAAAAAATTAGCGAAATCGGTTCAGCTGCTCTCGAAATTTGCGCTTAGCAACATATTCATCTATTCATTTTTATATTATAGACATCTCAGCTACCACAAGATTTAAGCAATAAGCATTAGTCATCTCTATAAAAAATTAAAGGGATTAAGGTAGAGATGCGATTTTCTAACATACCTATGATAGTGATACATTACATCAGATTAGCCCTTCACAAGTCCGCTTTTGAACATAGGCCTCCTCCAAGAAATGCCACAAAACACTGTTCTGAGCCACCTGCATCCATGAACTTCCTGTATGTTCTAATAGGTCAACACTTCATCAAGTGCAAAGACAGCGATAAATAATATAATCTAATAGTAATGGAAACAAAATACTTACAACTTTCATCAAATACGAAGCTCTTGTTTGATCCTTTTAAGTTGGACTTGATTACTTTCCTTTTAATCTGTGAAGCAACAGCACAGTTGTTCACTGGACTGCAGAACATGACCTTGGTAGTTCTGGAAATTGGCTCAGTAACAGAAGATCTACGTAATGATTTTTCAATAGAACGAGTCACATTGAGAACTGACTTCTCTTTCTGAGAACTTTTACTGACAGGGAATGGAGTGCATCCAGGAGACGGCATGGATTTACGTCTATTTGGAGTTCTATCTACTGATATTTTAGGTTTAGGAGTATCGGTTCCTACAAGTGTTGGAATCTCTGTTCCTTTGTATTTTGGTGACTCCATTACGTTTGTACTTTCCATAGTGAAAGTGCCTTCACGTTTCAAAGGTGTTATAGGCACTTTGCTGATATTTTCAGTGACAATTTCTTCAACTTTATTTTTTGGTGTCTTTTGAATACTTGATTCGTCAATACTGCTTTCAACTAACTCTGGAGTTAGGTTAATAATATTTTCAGTTTTAGAATCATCACTGTTTATACTAATGTGTGAATTATTGGCTTTATCAAATGTGACATTTATGGCATCACTTTTTTGGTTAGAATTTCTTTGATCTTTGTCATAAGTGGAATTTAATTTAATGCTACCCTCTTTGTCAAACGTAGAGTCAAGAGATTTTGTTCTGTTAAGTTTTGGTTTGTCAGATAGTTTTTCAAATGTACTGTTAAGGCTTCGCTTTAAACCAGATCCACTCTGTGATAGTAAACGTAGGGATTTTCTTTCACTGCTGCTTATTAGCTTTTCTATATCAGTGTTTATATTTCTAGAATCACAACTATCAGGGCTTATCTTTTCAAAAGTGCTATCGAGTTTCTTTTTCAATGATCCATTGAGTTTAGGCAATTCATTTGTTATTGAGTCATTATTAGTTTTGCCAGGAGTTATTTCGTTTACACTAAGCTTCCTTTTAATTTTTGTTTGCTTTTCAATTGCATCAATAAAAATTCCACACTCATCTTCTGAGTCTTTTACAAAAGTTGAATTTTTACTTTTGGTAAGTTTTGGTGTTAAGGACTTTTTATTAGATCGACGTAACAAGACTTCTGTTTTGACTGTTTCAGATTTTTCAACTTCTGCAGATTTATCATTGATGATTCCAATATGCATGTTGCTCCTTCCAGGGCTGCCAGCAGCACTATGAAATGATTCATTTGATACAATGCTATTATTTAATGTGGTATTTTTGGACAATTCAGTTAAATCCTCTACTTTAGTAGAATTTGATAGTTTGGAACTTTTCTTCTTTTTAGATTTCTTTTTTGTCTTCAATACAGTTTCTTTTACTACTTCATCATAATTTTCTGTGGGTTCAGTAACAACATTTTGCTTTTTCTTTTTATTTTTCTTTATCTTTTGTTTGGCTCCAATTACATTTCCAAGATTCTCGTCAATCGCTGGGTCGTTATTTTCAACGACGTCAGTGACAATTTCTTCAACAAACTTCTTGGGTCTCCGCGTATGCTTTTTTACCTCAATATTGTCGTTAGAATTTTCTGAATTTGTAATAATATTTTGCTCCTTGAGTGTATGCCGTCGTAGTTTCCGCGTCGATTTAATAACATTCTCGTTAGCGTCATTAAATATCTCATCTCCAGGATAATGTACATAATGGGCTTTTTTCTTTAAAACTGCAGGTACTTCATCACAATTTTCCTTCTGACGTTTACTTCTGGTTTTTCTCTCGCTTTTTACAATTTTTTCCAGATCTGGCTGTTCAAGATTACCAAACGAAGAATGTATTCCTAAAATTGACAAACATGAAAATATTACTATGTATAAAGAAAAATAAATACTTTAGTAACTATAAATATGTAAGTACTAACGTCTTCCAGATCTAGTTGCCATTTCAGAAACTTTGTTTACTGATCCAATATAATAACTATTCCAATAAGTCACGAAAATGTTTATTTTCCTTTAAAAATCTTGTTTCAATATAACGTCTTATTTTTCAAACTTCAGTCAATGAAACTTGAATATTGAGCAACGGTCACAGTGTTGCCACTCGCTATCAGTATCACTTATTTATTTTTTTACATAAAGCTAAATATAATCATGCGTAAACCTATGGCGTATGCATCACAGACTAACTAGTAGATTCTACCCGAATCAGACGGGACATCTCACGAACTAAACTTACTCGACTTAGCATCTGCATCCTGATTGGTTGTAGCAAAATGATATATGACATTTCTTTTTTTTATTTTATTTGAAGCAACTATACCAGGCAAAGGATGTCTCAAATAATATCCACTTACAAAGTTAATTATATTATATTGAAAATAAAACGAGGTAAATACAAATGAAACAATGTGAAAATTTAATATTTTTTATTAGTTATTAATTTTATTTTACAATAATTTTGTTTACAAATTTAATAATTAACCTATTAATATATAAATTATAAAAAAAACTAAAATTAGTAACTTAATTATCATACAGTCCTCATTTTAACTTTACAATAATTTTGATTACAAGTTTAATTATTAATTTATTAATACATACAAATTAAAAAACTATAATCAAAGAAAACCAAAACTAATAACTTAATTATCATACAGTCCTAATTTTAACTTTACAATAATTTTGTTTACAAATTTAGAATGAGACCTGTTTTTTTGATCCCATTTTAGCTTATTAAGAAAAATTATATTTGTGGTCTATACTATTATGTGATGCAACAATTTTAGCAAACGTAACACAAATAAGAAGAAAAATTACAAATAGACAGAAACCATACCGATAATTTGAGTTCATATAATATAATATTCATATAATATTTGAAGTATGGATACTTCAAATATCATAAACTCAAATTAACTTATCTCGGGTTGGATCGTTTTTGCATAACTACGTCCAAATATCATACAGTCCTACTCCCCGCGGTATCGCACCAAGAACGCTGGCTGCGTTTCCCCACTGAATGGCTATACTTAGCTTTTGAGCGAGAAAAGAACTAGCCCTCTATTTAGAATTAATGGGTAAGTATCAATATATATATATAAGATTCACCAGTTTCATCACATTCGTTATTCACTTCCCTTTCATGTCCTTTAAAGCTTTAAACAGGCTCTTTATGTTTAATAATTGTGCACTAACATCATCTCCATAATTACAAGATGAGAGGTGAAATTTAATGAAACCCGTAATTAATAAAGATAAAAGCATTTATGAAATTGTAGCAATTTGGATTATTGTCCCTAAAATTATATGATCTTATTTGACCCACAAAAAATTAGATTGCATCGTATATAGCAGGCTCTCATAACCTTTATATTTTTCTTGGACAAAAACTGCCACAAATTCATAAATCTTTTTTAGTACTTATCCAGTTCTTTATACTGGGTACATACATGACCATTTTTATTAAAAAAATTTAAATTTTCTAGTTTTAACAAAGCTTGCTGACTGAATGCATGGTGTCTACATTTTTCTATAACAGCAATTCTTAAATCTTTCTCTCTTCTTTTTTATTTATCACCGCACATCCATTCACACTGTCAAATAGGTCATCCAAAAAAGATACTATTTCTGCAGTATTTTTCAGTATTTTGCTTACCGCCCATCCGAATAATGAACTGTAATAAATATTTAAAATATTATAAAATTTGAAATATAATTAAGCACTCTGTACAATATATTTAAGTTACAGAAGTTTGTGTTTTTTATAGAATTAAGCATGACAGGCAAGCACCCATTTATCTTGATAGTAAGTGAATGCCGTGGCCCACAAACACCGACATTAATTCTCGATTAAGTATCAAAATGCAAATACATTGTCATCTTTGAAGACAAATAATGACTTGTTACCAGGGTCTTAGTTTCTCACCACTCACCATATAAAATACTACAGTTTATATATATATATATATATATATATATATATATATATATATATATAGTTATAAATCTAATAAAATAATATAATAACTTACAAAATGCTGAGCTATAGATTAAGGCTCCTGCCACGGTTTTACTAAATATACGAACATAATTCTTAACCTGCATATAATCCAAAAAAATTTGATTAAGTTTATTACATGTACAAAAATTAAATTACATGTAATTGAAATAAAATAACAATCATTTTATACCTTCATTTTTTATTATCAAGAATAACATATTACTCATTAAGTTTGTGTAATAATTCTACTTGTTCACAGTCTGTCTTATACGCATCTACAATATATGTCCATGTAGAAATAATCAAATATGATAAGCAAATATGGTTATAATAAACCACTTGTAAATGTATCAGGTCATCTAAAAATATAAAACATATTAATAATAAAGCAATTCTATTAAGAGTAAACATGAACGGTGAAGTTTTGGTACGACTTTCCATTTACTCCCATCGAGTTTGGTGTTCATACGTATTTTTACAGAAAGGTTACATTTTTATAAGCACACACACAAAGTTTCAATATGCGGAAACACGTATTTTTTGAGAAATAAATTAATAAAAATCACTTATTTTAACAATATTTCTTTTTTTTTTTAACTGGCTTTACGGCTCTGGGTTCTAGCCCTTTTGAGCCTACTTTATTACGAATTTCCATTGGCATTCGTCGAATTGAGGGGAGGGGGGGGGGGGGGGGGGGGAGAAGAGGTGTAGGGGGACTAATTCAGAGGGATTTCTGTATATATTTTAAGACTGCAACGTCTCCGGCGCTGCGGGAAGAGCAGCCTCTACGCCTTTGCGTAACAAATCGCAGGCATCCCTCCTCGCCTCCGCAGCTTTGTTACAGCAGGCGGAGGCTACTCCCCCTACGCGCCTCCGGTTCTATATAACCACTCTAGGGGTAGGACAGACTCGTACCACGCAGGCGTGTCACTTTGTAAAAATCTGAGGTATGGAAAATGGTGGCGCGATTTTCAAATTTGTTCGCATTACTCGTGGGGTATTAAGGTTTAAGAGTTTGCAGTGTATATACTCAACTTATTTATTGAACTATAAGATGTGGGGTATTGAGGTTTAAGGGCTTGCGATTTATTTATATGGGGTTTGTAGTAATATGCGATTTATTTCCTAATTTCAGCTATGGAATTCCATACCTTGAAAAACTTGAGGTATGGAGTGCTCCATACCTTCCATAGTGGAAGTGACACCCCTGGTACCACGTGGAGTCGCGGTCAATAAATTTGGTTCTTTGACATAAGTAGAACCTAACCTATTTTATTTATTATCTGCCCTAATAGGTAGTGTTAAAATAAACATCCTTGAAAATCGCCATTAAAACTGATTTTACTGATAAGAGATCATTTATTGTATTATCTTTCTTTTTTTCCATAAGAAATCATTTATTATGGTATCTTATAAATGCAAACAGGAAAATATATCTATATTTTAGAAATCCATTTTTTGTGATATCATGACAGCTTACTATTAGAATCGATTTAAAAATCTATCTTTTTCGGAAAGAATCGACATCCGTACAGACGACGACAATGACATTACAAAATGGCGCCAGTTTTACGCTAGGAATGTAACATAAACATTGCAAAAATAATTATTTTTCAAATAATGTTTTTTCTCAAAAAGTACGTGTTTCCGCATATTGAAACTTTATGTGTGTGCTTATAATAGTGTAACTTTTATGTAAAAATATGTATCAATCCCCAACTCGATGGGAGTAAATGGAAAGCTAAGCCGAAGTTTTAATTAATTGTACCTGGATTTTTATTTTCTCTTATTTGAACTGCTCTAGTTTCCTCTTGCAGTAGTTAAAGAGCAGATCTGAAAGTAGCCCCTTGATCTGAGACTAATGTTATCCTAATTCACCAACAACCGCAACAATTTCTTTTAAAGTATTTTTACTTCAATAGTAGATGTTGATCCTTTACTAAAGTAAAAGGCAATACGTTGATACAAGTAATGCAAAGTAAATGCAAAGAGAGGGCGGAAATAAACCAACGCAACCAAACGGAAATTTATCAATAAATCAGTAATAATATCACTCAGTGACACAATGATTACGGACAAAATAAACAATATGGCTGCCATGGCTTGCATTGGAGCCATGGAGTATAGAGTAGACTACTCTATACTCCATGATTGGAGCTTAGAATGGATGTCGAGGGGCGAGGGGGATTTTAGCTGTCAGAGCTGTAGATATCATTTTGCTATGACGTATCCTATGTCCAATATTTTTTCTATGATATATACATATGGAGAGGGCATATTCCACTATAGAAATAATAGTTATACAAATATCTATAATATCGACACAGACTTGTCAAAAATATTTTTGTCTCTTTTTAACAAAGCAGTAGCTGCAATAGAAAAGAGAGACATCTACAGTTTGTAAAGTGCTCATTTTGGTAATACTTTCGTGTGACGTCATTAGCTCACCCGTGCGTGACTGCGCCGCCATGTTAAGTGCCAAGTTTTGAGGTAGATCTTCTGTCAAACAGTCAATAAAGCAGTGAAATAGTGTCGTACACTCTTATCTATGATGTCGATAGAAATTATCTTAATGAATTAATATTGTTCAGAAATGAATATATAATAATAATAATAGTTTATAAATCCTGGATATCATATTTCATCCACCGTTCCATGACCATTAATGTACCTGCGAAAATAATTATATTTTTCATTTAAAATCTGAATAAAAAAATTAAATATGATATCCGGCAGGACCGAACATGCTTATATAACTTAGCATTTGTGATAAATTATGTGCAGAACGTTCCTATATACAAATTAATAATAAATAAGTATTGATTTTAAAAACAGTTTATTTAATTTTTACTCAACTAATCATTATTATTTTATATTAAAAATACTATAATATGGGATTACAATATGGAATCAAGGATCTCCATCCCATCTCCATACATTTGTTTACTGTACAATATTATTTTACAGTAAAAAAAGATTTTTGGTATACAAGCAAAAAATATTCATTATATTATATTTTTTGTGCTAGGGGTGTACGCCCCAGATATGTCTAAGCCCACTTATATCCGACAGCAGTTTTGGAACATGGTAAGGATGGTGTTGATGAAATGTAAGGAAAATGAAAATATTATTATGTTAGGGTTTTTTAATGGAAGGGTTGGGGTGAGAAGGTCTGGTTATGAAAGGATATTAGGAACGTTTGGTGATGAAAGTATAAATGAGAACGGCGAAGACCTCCTCACCGTATTTGTAGAAAGGTATATTTTAGTGACGATCACTTTCTTTCGCCATAAGAGGATTCACATGTATACATGGGAAAAAGGGGACGATAGAAGCATGATAGATTTTATAATTGTGGATGAAAGAATGAGGAGCTCAGTGGTAGATACAAGGGTTTACCGGGGGTCCAACGTAAGGACGGATCATTACTTGGTCTTATGCCGAATTAATGGTCTATTCAGGCGTTGGCGGCATCGGACATCTGTGTCTACTACTGCGTTAGAGCGTATAAGAATAGAGAGGTTACAAGATGAAGGTGTGAAAGAGAAGTATAAATGTAGACTGAGGGAAAATATGACTTGAAGACTGTATGGAATAATACATTGAAAATAGATACATTGAAAATGGGCCAGGAGTACCCTTAACCCACGAGCGTGTATGCGTAGATATATGGATGTAAAGAAGTCGAGAGATGTGTGTCAGGATCACGCCAAATGGAAATCCGTAGTCTTTGCCTACCCCTCTGGGTGACAGGCGTGAGTGTTTGTGTTTTGTGTGTGAGTATAAAAATCACATCATCTTAGGCTGTATGGGTATAGCTCCTTTTGCCTTAAAATAAGTCTTCATATCAATGTGACCGTTTTTGGATTCATTACCAAATTAGTATGATTTGAATTTTCCAAAATTAACTTGATTTTATTTGGTATAGTTTCAGATAATGAGCTTGTACAATTTTTAAATAAGGTGTGATGTTGACTAATATATATATATATATATATATATATATATATATATATATATATATATTATATATATCTAATAGATACACGTAAACTATACTGTGTAAATACCTTCAGAAAAACAGATCATTATAAATAAATAAATAAATAATTTACGTCTTATTTTACCAAATCCGTTAAGGTGATAGCGATGCAGTGTGAAGGGATTTTTGTTTCGTTTTCTGTTGTTTTGACTTTAAATGATTTTTTATGACGCGATAATAATATTAATAGTTGCAATTTTCTTCCAGAAATATATATATCTAATAGATACACGTAAACAGATCATTATAAATAAATAATTTACGTCTTATTTTACCAAATCCGTTAAGGTGATAGCGATGCAGTGTGAAGGGATTTTTGTTTCGTTTTCTGTTGTTTTGACTTTAAATGATTTTTTATGATTCGATAATAATATTAATAGTTGCAATTTTCTTCCTTGGTTTTGCCTTAAAATTCATAAAAATTTGACCTTTGATGTAATTTAAAAAAAAAATATTGTTATGACATATAAAAAATTTGGTTGAGTTTCAAAGGTATACGAAGACATAAAAAATAGCAACATGATATATTTTACGCCACACTGGATCACCTTATTTTAAGAAGCTAAGGTAATTTTGAAGAGTAATCAGCGAAAAATATAACGGTATCGGTACCTTTATTTTTCAGTACCGAAAATTTTGTGTATCGTAATTTTAAGTTATCGCAATTTTTCGGTCATGCCAACCCTGCCTATTCCTTTATTTTAGAAGATTTTAGTAGATTACCTTGCTTAACAAGCGGGCACATTGCTTTATTACTGTTTTTTTCTACACATATAAAGTCAAAAGTCAAAACAAAATAACGTTTTCGTACAGCAACGCGGTTTCGCTTGCGTTTTATTGATTTTCTACGTATTTTAATATTTGTGTTTTTGGACGTATAGATAAATGCGGTACTATTTTGCGAAATTGCCTCTGAAGAAGAAAATGTAATCTGCCGTAAGGGCGTTACACCGAATCAGAGTTGTTTGATCTATGACTCAGTGCCGAGCAATAACAATGGGAAAATATTGGCTGGTGACAATATTGCAATACTTTTATTATTTAAGTCATGTAAAAGGTGACCGGGGGGATTATATAGGCTGTTATAAATTCAATATCAATGATGTCTTGAACACTCACAGTGGGCAATCAGTTGATGTTTGTTTATCGGTATGCGAAGAAGTTTATTACAAGTACGCTCTCTTAGGTAATGGCTCCACGTGTTTTTGCGGTAATAATCCCGGACAATTTGAGGTACCATCAGAATCGTGCAATACTCCATGCCCCAAAAATGAAACACAAAAGTGTGGAGGTGATAATGCTGCTAGTGTATATGATACAGATGTTATAGCGCCGGGACCTCCGGCATCTTTTGACATTGTAAATGTTACAGAAACAACGGTTCGTGTTCATTGGACTGCTCCACAGGCATATTCAATTATCACTGGGTATAGTATTCATGCGGTTGCTGTTGAAACATATGCAGATTATTCTCTCATACCTCTTGAATGGAGAGTATCTAATAGTACATATTATTCAGAACTATTAAATCTGCAGCCTGGGTCGGTATATAATATTAGTATTGCAGCAAGCAACTATGAGTATGAGGGTCCAAATGTGACCAGAAAAGCTGAAACAATCATAGGGACACCCAATCCAAGTCCACCTGATATCATCATAAAACAGAGACGAGGTGACCGAATGGTAGTGCAAATTCCTGAAGCTAGAAATGTCAATGGGCCTGTATCTAGGTATAGAATAGTAGTGTCAATAGAATTATATCAACAAGGGTTTGTTGTAGAAAACCTGGGTAACTACACATATGCAATGGAACAGGGATATCCATATTACATAACAGCTGAATTGGATGGTGAAGATATTAAACATGACTTCATTATTGGTGACCGAAGTACTTATAATGGTTTTTATAATGCCCCATTACCTCTAACAAATGATATTGAAGTATCTCTAGGTATTGTTAGTGAAAAGAACCACGCAAGGAAGGTAAGATATGCTGAGTCAACTAAAAAGATTATTCTAAACATTAATGAACCTGAAGAAACGTCACCATTGGTAGTGGCCCTTGGTGCGGGGATTGCTATAAGCGTTGTACTAATTCTTATTGGCATTGGACTGCTTATAATTCTCCGTAAGAAAATTCAGGTAGTAAGAATGCAAAGAGGGTCTCATTCAATGCCTTTAAGTCTGAGTGAACCTTGCATAGAAATTGAGAACTCAAGTTTCCTTCAAGACGAAGATGAGAGAGTAGATTACTATGGTAATTTAAAACGTAAATTGTGGAATATACCTAGAAACCTCATTGACATTGATATATCCTGTGTGGTTGGTGTTGGTAGCTATGGAAAATTTACAAAGGGGAGTGTACAACAACATGGAGCTCAAACTCCGGGTTTAGTTCAAGTTATATTGGATAGAGAACTAGAGAAGCAAGATAAAAGGTTAATGTTGCAAGAGCTAGATCTCCTAATAAAGTCCAGTGAGCATCAAAATGTTATTTCTCTAATTGGCATCTGTGAGACAAACACAACACTATTTGTAGTGTTGCAAGATTCAAAGCAGACACTCAAAGAAATGCTTTTACAGTGCCGTCAAAGAGATTTACAAAATAACAAGTTTTGTCTGATTACTGAAAATAAAGTTATACAAGTGTGTGTTGATGTTGCATCTGGGATGGAATACCTACACAGTAAGAAAATTTATCATAAAAGGTTAAGTTGCCGAAATATAGTCATTAGTAATGATGGAGTGGCAAAAATAGCTGGCTTTGGTCTTTCACATATACGTCCATTACATGAAACTCCCGACTATACAAGGTGGATGTCACATGAAATGTTACGTCAAACAAGATTCAATCCTAAGGCTGATGTCTGGTCTTTTGGTTGTTTCATGTGGGAAGCTTTAACAATAGGAGGAACTCCATATAGCAACACTGTAAATAAAGATGTTGCAGCAAGAGTGTTAAGGGGGATGCGTCCATCACAACCTTCATATGTAAGTGATGAACTCTTCCAGCTATGTTTGCAATGTTGGCAGGTAGATCCCGATGAGAGACCAGCATTTACTTCTCTACTTAATGAACTAGCTCCATTCACAGACATACCAGGCACCAGAAGTCTTAGTTTCACTCATTACAATGGCTTTACTTACGAACCATATGTGCCGCAATATGAAATTGTTTCATAAGAATATCAATATCAAATATTAGTTATTATGCACAACTTGCACATTTAGAATATTCAAATGAAAATAATGATATTGATAGATAAAAAAATTAAAATCTCTGCTAATATTAGTTTTTCCAGATATGTTATCATATTATAGTACCTTAAGGCCAAAGTTAATAGGATTCTCTTAGTCTTATTTAAATCATTATCATTAAGCTTACCTCATCAACATATTCCCCAGCATTACCTATAGCCTATACCAAGTGTTTGTGGTCAAACATTTACTTTATTTTTATAAGACATTAAGGAATGTAACAATGTGTACAGCAAATGTGTGGAATAAGTTGCCAGCATCTGTATTTCCATCCAATTACAATGTGGGTGTCTTCAAGGCAACAGTGAATAGGCTTTTTTTAAGTCAGTGCACGTCACCATTTTCCATACATCAAGATTTATTACAAGATTAAGCTATTAACTACAATCCCACTATCAGGTAGGATTGTAGTTAATAGCTGGCTTAGAATAATATAAAAAAATGTAACATGTGATGATGTATATTGTTTATATTTCATATATGGGAAGGTATGCTAGAATGCTTCAAACATTAACATTAAACATAGTATTTATACTATGCCAATTTAAAGGCCTCATATAGTTTTTAATACTAATAAAGTGTTCATCCCTTACACAAGTTATAATAGGAAGTTCCAGCTATGAACTCGCACAATGCTAAGTGACAGGTAGAGGTAGACCAATAAAGAAAGGACAGTGCGCTGCATACATTTCACATGACGCAAAATGTAAGCCAAAACCATGCTCAACATATTGTAAGAACACGTACTTACATACACATAATCATCTGTCATTCACAACCAACAGCATGGTTTTAGGTGCATTTGTGTTTCCAGCAGTGGATTTTTACAGGCTGATTAAAAATGACAGAATATGTGATAGAGCCATGCTGCAGCTATATCATGGCTGCAGCACGAATGGGTTAACTCAACTGGGGAAAATATAAGCTAAAATAGCAGCTTAATGCTGCTGTACTTCGTATAGTGAGTGTAGAGAACTGGAGACCCTATTTACTGGAAAGAAGCATTCCATGTTAGTCCTCAGGAGTGTCAACGCATCTGCATTTTGATTCCAATTTGAGGATAGATGTAGATGTTTATGGCCCACAGCATTCACTTAACATCAGGTGGATTGTTTGTTCGTTTGTCACGTGGTAGAGCCATGCTGCAGCTATATTAATGGTATAGTTGCAACACGAATGGGTCGGCTCAACCAGGGAAGGACCACGTTCTCACAGAATACCAGTGTAAAATAGCAGCTTAACACTGCTGTGTTTCGTGTAGTGAGTGTAGAGAACTGGAGACCCTATTTACTGGAATGAGGCATTCCATGTTAGTCCTCAGGAGTGTCAACGCATCTGCATTTTGATTCCAATTTGAGGATAGATGTAGATGTCTATAGCCCACAGTATACACTTACCATCAGTTGGACTGTTTGTTCATTTGTCACTCTTATTTAGCATGGTATCTGTGTCACTTGATATACATAGACATAGTGGTTTATCTTGTCTTTCTTTATTGGTCAGAGGTTATCGTATTAGAATGAAGATTCAGAGATTATCATGTACCACCTATGCCAAATTGTTGTTTTTGCTTAGAGGAATTTTTAAAATTATATTATTATCAGAAACTTAAGCAATATCCTGTTACCTTAGAATAAAGCTTATAACAATTAATGCTAAAATTATCAAAGACTAAATATTTTTGTATGCTTATTATAGAATTAAAATGTATTTCTTTGGTAGTACTTATACGGTCAGCGTCTCTCTCAGTGTGTATGCTGCTTTTACTATTTTGTACCTATATATGAAGAGCTATTGTTAGCTTATTGTTTAAAAAATCTACCTGACTATAATTAACCACATCTTATATTAATTCTTAAATATATCTTATTTATAGAAATACGTGTATATTGGGTATCTTATGTTAACATATTTTTTTTAATAGGCACTGATTTTCAATCTTCGGAAAAAAAATATAAAATAAATGATAAATTACAGTCATATATATAAAATATTTCAATTGTTTCACTTTTATATTCAGTCATTTTATATTTTATTTGACAGATAACTTTTATCTGACGATTGAAAAATAACCTTAATTAATTATATTATGTATTGAAAAATCACCCTAAATTAATATATCTCCTTAATACAATAACGAAATGCTTAGCGATAGCTTGACACTCAGACCATGAAAGAAAGAAAGACGGAGCACTGCATATGTTTGAAGTGACGCAAAAACCAAGCCATAACTATGCTAAACTTATTGAAAGAACACGCACTCACAAGCACAAAATCATTCGCGTTTTAAGTACTTATGTGTGCGTCAAGAAGTTGAGCATGGTTTTGGAGTCACTTGAAAGGAACCAAGCGCTCCGTCTATCTTTCTCTTTAGACTGGCAGTCTGATCTTTAGACTCGGGATTGTATTTAGTCTAGGCGAGGCCTATCTCTCACAGTGAAATGTTAGACTGCAATTATGATAAAAATTATCCTTATGTTTTACTTAATACTCATACAAGCAAATTTATTTATCTTTTATTGATTATTGGATCATTACTTGTGTCAATGTAAATTACGTATTTATTTAAACTGTTATGGCGCAGTCATGGCGCCAAAATTCGTAAACGAACCGAACAACATCCGAAATCGAAGTTTCCAAATGACTTCAAAATATGTATATTATATCAAGCTATGTTCTACACAACAAACTAAAAAACTATTGATTGGTACTACACGTGTACCGATAGCAGCCATAGTACTCTGTGGTGTCTGCTTCCCGGGCTGAACTCATTGCCTGGAGGGATTTTCATTCTCCACTTTTCCAGCAACGGCTAAATAATCATCAGTGTGTGATGATTTAATTAATAAAAAAAAGCATTGAAACAACTAACATTTTTACTGTATCAATTACGACAGTTTTACCCAGTGACAACAATTGCATGTGTATAAATTATCTCTACAAAAAAAAGACAGTACATGAATGATGTATTTAATTTTTTTAAATCGCATTCTCAATTCCCCTTTTTCAATAGGATTTAATTAAAGAAAAAAAATCCATACTTTTGATTATAGAAACATACACGTCGGGCTTAATACATGGTCTAGATCTGCTCAAATTATACAATAAATAAGACAAGCACAATAAGACTAATTAGTAATTCCAATTTATTGTTTAGCATTTAATATATATTAATTACTCTATACATAGTTATAATATGACAGTAGCATAAGGAACTTTAGCAGTCTTATTAGACAATAAGTAAGAAAAACGTGTATTTGGAGGGAATAAAACCTTGTAAATATTTATGACATCATGGTACCTATATTGAAATAATTTCAAACATTGTATTATAAATCGATATTGTGTTTTTCCACTCTGAAATCGATATTACACTATATATTTTTGTTAAAATCTCACACCAAATAAATGTACACAGAATACTAAGTATAAGTTTATCCGAAATCATGCTCAACGAAAGAAAATGCACTCACCATAGATAAATATATATGTAGCAAGGCACTCACGCACACTTTTGCTTCTAAAATCATTTGCAACCAACATGGTTCTAGGAGCATATGTGTATGCCCAACTTTAAACTTTTATAGTCTGTAGAAAAAGAAAGATGTGTGTGTGCATAAAGAAATAGCGCATGGTTTCGGTGTCAATTTAAACACAGCGACCCCTCTATCTTTCTTAGTTGGCTTGAGGTTGAAATCTAAAATAGTATTAATCATAATAATATGTCCATATTAGAACTTTTAAAAAGTAAAATTAAATGTTTTCCTTGAATTTCCTTAATTATATTTCTTTTTCAGTCGGGATTCAAATGTTAGCTTATTAGTTAGTTTTATTGCTTCATGTTCATTTTTGTACTAATAAAATGCATTAGGGTTGCATACAATATAAGCATAAAAATGACAGATTGGTGATCTGTAATTCTGTATTATTTAGCACGATTTATGAGCGCTAACTTTTATATGCGTCAACATTGCATCAAACGTTTTGCTTGGGTATATGAGGTAAAGCGAGGGGGCTGCGACACAAATTTTGCTGACCGATTTGTTTCTTAATTGTTCATTGGTCAAGGTGATGGCGATTGTCGAAAGCACCACTCACACCGCCACAAGCTAAGAAGTCATTGGAACTCATACGCCTAATTGGTTAGGACATAAATCTGTGTAAAATAGTACTCACTATAATTATTCAACGTTCAAAACTCGTGTCGACATATATAATTTAATCTAAACTAGCTAGTAAGATTTGGAAATATTTAAGTGACTTATTTTTGACAATCATTCCAACTACGTATTTTAAGAATTTTGTGTTTGTTGTTTTGAGTTTGATACTTTTACTGTTTTGTTATTTTATTATAACCCACAACGATTAAAATCCGTCCAACGCGATGTACTTTTGTACGAATCTCATTGCTGTCTGTCAATATTAACATCACGAGTGTTGTTTAATAAATATTTTTAATTATTATCTGTTTCATTTAAGCTGTTCTCATCCTTTCTTAAACCACTGTCGAATATAGACAGGATGTGCGAATATTTGTATCCGCATCCGCCAATGCTTCAGCTTCATAGACTTGATAGATTTCACTGCTTTTAGTACATTTTCAGTTGGGTTATGTTACTCTGATTCTACTGCGGATACTCTCATTTCTAAGATATATCGTAGAGAAACCCAAGAGCATAGCCCTCTCCATAACTTGCTGAGCGACATTAAGCATCCTCATACGGCCAACAGTGAAGTACCACGTCTCAGATCGATAAGTCATCACTGGCAACGCACTGATTGTACAATCTTGTTTTCAAGTTTTGAGGTATGTCTGACGAGATGTGTCGTAATTTCCCGAACGATGCCCAGCCGACGTGAATCCGTTGATTGACCTTTCGGTCGAAGTTGGACTAACCTAGTCAGACTATTTGTCCCAGGTAAAC